CTCTCTCTCTCTCTCTCTCTCTCTCTCTCTCTCTGTGTTCCATTAAATTTAAAAAAAAAAAAGAAAACTGTTGGTGTTAGGAATGTGGAAGTCAAATGACAACTTGCAGGAATCACATCTCCACCATGTGGTTCCCTAAGATCAGTCTCATTATTAGGTTATTTTAATATGCATTTTCTCTTCATACAGGTGAGCTGAGGACATACTTTGCTCAGTTTGGCCATATACGAAAATGCACTGTACCTTTTGTGAGTATTATTAAAAATTAAACAAAGCAAAACAAACACCCATAGGGATGGGGTGATGATACAGCTCAGTGTGGTAGAACACTTGCCTAGTGTGTATGAATGTTGTTTTCCTCTAAGCCTTGATTTCTTTTTCATATAAAATATATTATTAAGTAATGGAGTGAAACTGTTCCAAAGTCTGTTGATAAAATTGTGGGTGATGGGGGCTGCAGAGATGGATCAGCAGTTAAGAACACTGGCTGTTCTCGGGGCTGGAGAGATGGCTTAGTGGTTAAGAACATTGACTGTTCTTGCAGAAGACCTGGGTTCAAATCCCAGCACCCACGTGGCAGATAACACCTGTCTATAACTCCAGTTCCAGGGAATCCGACAGCTTCTTCTGTCCTCCTCGGGCATTGCACGACACAGGTGCACTTACCTACATGCAGGCATAACACTCATACACATAAAATAAAAATAATAAATAAAATATTAAAAAAAAACCCACTGGCTGTTCTTACAGAAGACTCGGGTTGGAATCCCAGCACCCAAATGGCAGCTAACAACTGTCTGTAACTCCAGTTCCAGGGGATCCAATGCCCTCTTCTGTCCTCCATGGGCATTGCACGACACTGCTGCATTTATACACATGCAGACAGTACACACGTACGCATAAAATATAAAAATAATTAAAAATATTTTTTAAAATTGTGGGTTATGTATACATATAAACATACATAATCATAAAACATACAAGACTTATAGATATTTGTGTTAGTTTTTCTTATTGTTACATAACAACACTGAAGCTTAATGGCTAGACACAACACATGGTCTCACAGCTGGCCACAGCTTAGCTGGGTTCTCTGCTCAAGAGTTCAGTGTGTGGGCTGCGGCTGCATATGCTTTATCAGGTTCAAAGGGGAGTTGGACTTCCAGGCTCTCTGAGGTGGTGGGCTGAGTTCCTTTCATCTGTAGGATTGAGGTTGCTGCTTTCTTGGCTCTGCTTTTGGCTTTTTGCTGGGGCCTGCTCTCAGTTCCTGGGGACTTCCTGCAGTTCTGTTACCTGTGTTTTCTGTAGCCTGTCTTGAAACATGGCAGCTTGCTTCTGGTTTAGTTTTGTGAGGTAGGATCTTACTATGTATGTAGCCCAAGCTGGCTTCAGAATTGCTGTCCTTGAACTTAAAATCCTCCTGCCTCGGCCTTGAGTGAGGTGATTACAGGCATGTGCCACTATGCCCCAGTTTGCTTCTTCAAAGGTAGCAGGGGAATTGGCTATAGTTAGTTATAAGGCCACAGCAGCAATAGTCCATTTACTTTTGTCTGTAACCCAATCAAGGGAGCAGCATCTTACCACCTTTGCCATATTTGGGTTTAAAGCAAGTTACAAATTCTGACTTTACTGTAAGGAAGGGGATTATATAGGATGTAACATGGGACACACATGGAAATCATGGCACCCACCTGAGAATTTTCCCACAACAGTATTATACTGAGGACTTGAGATGGCAGAGGACATTTTTTTTTTTTGTCACAGGGTCTCCCTGTTTGGAACTCACTTTG